AGGGAATTTTTTTATGATGTATGTGATTATGAAAATATAGTAATATTATAGAAAATAAAGGAAAAAATTACAAAAACGACATGTCATTGTTTGACATTGAAAATATTTGAGACATTGCTTGTCATTGAAAACAAATGAAAACTGTCATCTGCCAAAAATTTCAATTTACTTATGAGTCTAGACAATATTAGAATAAATTCATGATTATGATTAGGAAAAATGAAATGTAAATGAAATGAAATTATTATTGCCAAAAAGCAGCTGAGATGTGCCAGAAATTAAAATAATATAAGATACAAAGAAGCGAAAGTAAAGAGTGTCAAAGAAGGAAGGGCAGGTGAATATGTTGTGATTTTTGCATACAACGGACCTGCCTATGAGCAAAATAGGTACAATATATATTATAAAGTTAAAAATAAATGTGTCGGTTTCCTTGTCCGCATGCAGTATAATATTGTTTCTTTTGCAAATGAAGGTTAGAGTATTGTGTTCTATTAATATTACCTAGAAATTTTGGCAAACTTTACAAAGAAAACAACAACACGGGCTTCAGAACTATTTCTTTATTATACAGAATACAAATATATATATATATATATATATATATATTATTTTTGATACAATATATATATATATATATATATATATATATATATATATATACTAGCTGTCCCGACAGACGTTGTCATGTACACACGTCTACCATTCAAAAGTTACAAGTTTTGCAATATTCTATACTAATATTTACCTTTTAGTTAAAACTAATTATCACACCGAAATGTATATACATCAATATCAATGATGATTTTCAATTTCCACGCTTAACTCTTTAATTATACTGTGAAATCCAAATCAATCACATAAAACTATACAACATATGTCAAACAAACAAATATCGAAATATGTTTTTTAAAATTACTATATTTTTATAGTCATTCACATCTTAAAAATTACCCTTAACAAACTCCAAAATGATTTATCAAAATTCGAATAACTGTGTAGGAGCAGTTTCCACAATATTTAGAACAAATTTATTTCCAATAGATCAATTTATTTTATTGCCAAGGGTTATAAAATATTTTTACTCATACCTGTAGACGTATAAATAAATAATTTTTTGCTCATCCATGACTAAAACATTTTTGATACAATTGAACTTCTAAATAATTATTTGAGAAGTAATTTATTCTATGTATTGTGAAATAATTTAGAAAATACGATAGGCATTAGTTAAAAAAATCTGTCGAACTGAATTATATAATTTCATCTGACAAACATATTCTGTATCTTATATTATTTTAATTTCTTGCACATCTCAGCTGCTTTTTGGCAATAATAATGTAGACATCAAATTTTTTTTTATTCATAATTATGAATGTAATACATTCCAATATTGTCTAGGTTCTTAAGTGAATTGAAATTTGTGGCAAATGACAGTTCTTAGATGTCAAGATCTTTTAAATGTCAAACAATGACATGTTGTTTCTTTGCAATTTTTTCCATTTATTTTAACAATATTAGTTTCATAATCATTAACATCTTAAAAATTATCCTCAACAATCTCTAAAATGATTTATCAAAATTATAATAACCGTCAAGGAGAAGTTTCCATTCATACATTTGCAAAGAAGAATTTTAAATATAAGATATATGAATCAGCTACAAAGTCTCCAACCTTTGAAGTATATTATATTCTAATATTGTCTAGGTTTATAGGTGAATTGAAATTTTTGGCAAATGACAGTTCTCATGTGTCAAAATATTTTTGATGTCAAACCATTGTCTGACGTGTAGTTTTTTTCATTTATCTCTACATCATTACTATATTTTTATAATCATTTACATCTCAAAAATTCTCCTTCACAAACTCCAAAAATTTTGTCATTTCATAAATTCAAAAATCAATAAGAGTGACACTTTAGTTAAAACTATATTCATGTCGGTACCAACATTAGATAATTCTCCAAACAAAAGTAACTATAATTGATATCTATGTCGCTTGTTTCTCTATATATTTTGTTGCTCTAAGAATGTCTTATTATTATTGTGTGTGTGGTTGGTTTTACATTTTATTAAAGATTTATTATGCAAGGCGAATGTATATATGTATAAAAAACGTTTCGGCAATGTAACAATTGCCGTTATAAAAGAAACATTTAACCTGAGTTGAGAGGATGCACTCAGATTAATAATAATAAACTTGTATTTATTTAAGAAACATAATAAATATGATAACAGACTTAATTATATTTATTTTTATAAAATGTCAATAGTAAAAATTCGAATAACCCAAACAGAAGAATTTTATTTATTTAATTTTAGATATATGAATCAGCTACAAAGCCTCTAATCTTTTACAATTGCATTATCCTTAACTGCAACAAAATTTAATAACAAATTTCAAAATTAATTTGACTCTGAATATTTATACTTATTAAAATGTATTACTAAATTGATCTTCAAAATTTATGGCGTTAATACGTTTCAAATTAATAAATAGTAATGTGGGCTAACAACTTATCAACTATTATTATAAATTATATAATTATTTGTTTATCATTCAAATATAAATATAAAATTTCTATTCTATTGTATCAAAAACCATAGAAGGTGCCAAGAATTTCTATTTCGTAATGCTTTGTCACCATTTTAATTGCCCTGCGATTAATCAGTGTCAGACGGCTTTGAAAATGATAATTGATGTTATGAAAACAGTTAATTATCAAATACATAATTAATTGTATAACAAATAAATGTATTTATATCTACAATTTAAACAAAAAAGTTGAAATTGTGAAACGAAAGTTTGTTCGCTGTAACTGGTGACATCTATTGGTTTTTATTTGATTTATTTTTAACGTTTAGCCAAGATTCGAATCAAATTAAAAAGTGTTTAAGCACTAAAATTAATTTTATAAAGTCATGTTTCGTTATTTAAATATACCATGATCTACTGAATCTGTTTTTTAATATTTAAAAAAAAATTAGGTGACATAACTTCAATGTATTCGATTGAAAGGTTTAGTGGTTTGAGTCCTCGCTATTTCATATCTGGCAAGAAAAAAGAACTCTACTGAGCACCAAATTAAATAACAAATTTGAAAATAAAAAAGACCTTACTGACTAACTAATTAAATAACGACCTAGAAATTAATAGAAGATTCTATTATTTTATTTATTTAGTAAACTAAATAATAACAAAATATATTTTACTAATTTGAATGTTTATTTAATTTTGAAACAAGCGTCATAGATATAAATTATAGTTACATTTTTTTTATTATGTTGGCACTTGTGGTCTGGGGAGAATTCTCTAATGTTGGTACTGAAATGAAGATAGTTTTAACTAAAGTGTCATTCTTATTGACAGATAGACAATGGCAGAATTTTAATAAAAATAACACGACATATATAATCTCAATTTGTATTTTTGTTAAAAAGACCATTAAACTCCGACCACATTATTTATTTTAAACAAATTTATATACAACATTTTTACAATTGACATTTTGATAAAAATAAATATAATTACGCTTGTTAACATATTTATTATGTTTATTAAATAAATACAAGTGCATTATTATTAACCTGAGTGCATCCTCTCAACTCAGGTTAAATATTTCTTTTATAACGGCAATTTTTACATTGCCGCGAAACGTTTTTTATACATATATACATTCGCCTTGCTTAATAAATCTTTAATAAAATATAAAAACAACCACACACACAATAATAATAAGACACTCTTTGAGCAACAAAATATTTTGAAACAAGCGTCATAGATATAAATTATAGTTACATTTTGTTTTTTTATGTTGGTACTGCTGGGGAGAATTATTTAATGTTGGTAGTGACGTGAATATAGTTTTAAATATGCCACTCTTATTGATTTTTAAATTTATGAAATGACAGAATTTAAATAAAGGTAAATAAATAAATGAAAAAATATATTTTTTCCTCGATTATGAACACTCGCTTAGGACATACACGGTGTATGTCCTAAGAGCGTGGTCTTTAATTCAAAACTTTAATTAATTTAAATATTTAAACTACTTTTTCTGTATGCATAATTTACAGGTGTTGATTACTATGCAAAATTTTAATAACATCTTTTAAATTTTTTTTTAACAATTAATAACAAAAAATCGGCCTAGCCGATCTTTACAAAAATGTAATCGACTCGATTCTCAAAATAGTTTCAGAAATTTTGGTTAGAACGCCGATAGTCTGCATAAAGAAACGGCTCGACCGATCATCTAATAAATATTAATAAAAAAGTAAAATTGAAATTGAAACGTTTAGGCAAACGTTTATGGGCCAATTCTCGGATAACCTAGCAGGTTGATGTTATTAGTCTCTCGTGGAAACATAACAAGTCTAAAATAAGGATATATTAAAGATTACCTATTTCCAGTACACTTATTTTATTTTGCTATGTTATTTCCTTGTTGCTGTTTTACTTTTCATAATATTTTGACATCAACTTTGCTGTAAGTTGTGTATCCAAAAATAGGCCCAAACATTCAAAATTGTATGAAACTCCTTAAAAAAAAATAATCTACTTCATTTTATAATCTTCCCTATTCTTCTCTTTTTCTAACTATCCATTTCTCTCTTTATCTTTCATCTAGTTGTTAATTATCCATCTCTCTCTTCTACGTCTTAACTAACTCTACATCTCTTTCCCTCACATCCCGTTGTTCCCTCACTTTCTCAACTTCATTCCTCTATCCCTCCTTAACCCTCTCTCTTTCTCCCCCACCCTTCCTTTTCTCCCTCTCATACTCCATCCCTCTCTTTCCTTAAAACGCCAGCATCTTTCTATCCTCCGTGACCATTTCGCTGCGCACCTTCTCGCCCCTCTGCATTAATCGCTCGTATTCGGCGTCCTCTTCGCGATTCTCCGCCATCATCTTTCGGAGCCCCGCAAGGCGCTTCTCGCGGTGCACCTGCCTTTCGGCGGCTTGGGCCAGGTCGCTTTCGATGTCGGCCAGGAGGGCTCGCGATTGTTTTGCGCGAAGGGCGGCGGCGCCACCTGGGGGGTAAAGGATTTATGGAGTATGTCTTTTCATAAAAAAAATATTAAAATAAAAAAAGAAAGAAAATCAATGTAACTAATCTAATGACCATTTACTTTCGAATTTGGCTGTAAAATATACCGAGTTGTTCTAAGGTTTTTCTTGTTAGAAATAGTTAATTGAACTTTTGTTTAATTAGTTTTGAACCAATGTGACTTATTCATTTAAAAGTTTCTCTACTGCACCATTAATACTAATTGAATGCTTTACATTTTATAAACGATCTAGCAAAAAAAAACGTTCATATACGATTTTAAAGTATACCGAGTACATAAACATAACCTTGAATAAATAAAATAAATAATAGTACTAGATTTTTATAATTTATATAAAATAAAAACCATTTTATTTATATTTATTTATTCAAGACGAAATTATACATGAGATGAAGTGAGGTTAGGTGTTACATAATGAATGATAATGATAAATAAATAAATAAATAAATATATAGGATCAGAGACATGGACTCTACAAGGTTACTAAATATGATTCTGATATAAATAGAAAACTGTATCGGATACATGCCTCCTCAACCAATATCATTCATATCATAGCAAGGTTTTAAACCATAATTAATAGATTTGTGTAAAATAAATAAACTCACAAAGAGAACCTCAGGTTTATTCTGCTGCGATTTTAATGAAAACAATGCATGGAGATGAGGTTGATAGTTAAATAGAATAGTTTAAAATATCATAGGCCTATGAGCAGCGGTCTAATTATGAAAATTAATTATAGTTTTAATAAATGGGTTCATATATAAGAAAGTTTTTTTTTTTAAATTTATTTTAATGTTTGTGTAGTTAAATATTGTAAAAATATAAGTTGACTTATTGCATATATTCTGCGAACAACAATTGTTATATTCGAAACAAATCTATAAGTCTATATCTATAAGCACACGAATTGCGCATGGTCTAATTTTTAAAATTTTAATTCATTTTTATAATTGAACCGCTTCTCATTGGCCTATAATCTTTTAAACAGTTTGGTTTGACTATCAACCTTATCACCATGCAAAATTTCTTTAAAATCCCAGAAGAGTACCGATCCTAATTGCTTTTGCTTGGGTGGAGTGACTAGGGCGGATGCTGAGCACGCCATTATGGAGTGCAAAAATAGGAAAAGGGTAGGCAGGAACTATGGAGGTAGATAGTAAGGCAAAAAATCTACCTCCCAACCAACTTTATAACTTTATTGACCAAAAAAAAGGATATAAGTCAACAAATAAATAAAAAAAATCTGAGGTTCCTCTTGTGAGTTGAGCGTCTTTGTGATATAAACCTGTCACTCCGCTATATATATATATATATATATATATATATATATATATATATATATATATTTATAATTATCTTTTATCTCTTATGGAGTAAGATAAGTATTATAATATCCGCGTTCCATGTCCAGAACCGGCCTTAGATTCCAACCTTCGTCATCAGAGGCGCGCAGAGCTGTCCATTTGGCGCCACTTCTCAATTCTCCAGCTGATGTGGCAACGTCGCTACTGTTCTCAACCGAAGAGGAGATCTTCAAGACGCGCTTCCTGGCAACCATGGAAGAGGATGTGGCCGAAGAATCGACACCATCTGATGAAAGGTAGGGAGAAATAGAATTAGGTTATTTATTTTGTGAAATGTGTTGTGGTGAAATTTCTTAGACTATTATATGTAAAGGGCTACTTAGTGGTTGGCCGTGTTATTTCTGATTGAATTGCTATTAGATTCTGTTATACATGATGCATATATATTTTTAAAGGACAACCCAGTGGTTGTCCAAACTCTTTCTGATTAGATTCCTATTAGATTTATACATGATGCATATATGCAACGATGCCTAAAAGAATGTTCTCACTTGAAATCAGATTTTAAAACTAAAATTTTAACTGAAAACTGAAATCACCACTGCTTGATATCAAATTTGTCCAATTTGCGGATCGAATCTAAAACCTCTAGTTGAAACTCCAAGATTTTTTGCTTTTTTATTCTTCGGGATGTTAATTATTTTATCATACTTTCTGCATTGTTGTAAAAGGAGCTTTTAGCTAAATATTATTTTTATTTTTTTATTTTACCTTCTAAGTCTGTAAATCGAGTGCGTGGCCTCAAAACGGGTTCATCGTCTTCGAAACCAATTTTTTTCTTTGCCAAACGCATTTTGCTCAAAGATGAATTGACCTATAACATGAAATAATTTTTTCTAAAGGTGATGAATATGGATAAATGGTTTAAAACTAAGATAAATGAGTTTTAAAGTTAAGGAATAAATGAACAAAAAAGAACATGAATGTGGAAATCGATAACTGAATCAACAGTGATAACTAAGTAAGTGGTTTGGATATAAACTTACTAAAAACTAAAAATAGTTGAGTGGTTCGAAACTAAGATAAAAGAACTTAGAGGATATTTTAGAAATATAAAATGGTAAATATAGATGATTGGGACAAAATGGGTTCATTGTCTTTGAAACCAAATGCATTTTTCTGAAACATAAATTAACTTGTACATAAAATAATGTACATAAATAATAAATGGTTCAAAACTAAGATAAATGAGTTTTAAAGTTAATTAATAAATAAAAAGAGAACATAGATGTGGACAATAGATAAATAAGCAACAGTTATAACTACAAGTAAGTGCTTGCATATAAACTAAAAATAAAACTAAAAATTGTAAAGTGGTTCGAAACTAAGATGAAAGAACTTTGAGGATAATTAAAAAGTATAAAATGAAAGTAATAAATATAGGTGATCGGGAAGATCAATAAAGCATTAAGTATAAATAAGTGGTTTGGAACCAAGATAAACTTTGGTCAAAACTTTATCTAAAACGCCCCCCCGGTTTTCAACAATATGAATTAACAATCTACAGTATATTAAATTTATAATGTTAATCATAAATTTCTTTTGCCAGTGGTTTGGAACCAAGATTAACTTTGGTGTAAACCTTAGCTAAAACGCCCCCGCGATTTTTCAGAGTCAACAACAACATCAATTAACAATCTGCAGTATATAAAATGCATAATGTCTATCATAAATTTCTTTTTCGGCAAGGTTCGGCACCAAGATAAAATTTGGTGAAAACCTTAGCTAAAACGCCCCCGCAGTTTCTTAGAGTCAACAATAACATCGATCAACAACCTACGGTATATTAAATTTATAATGCTTATCATAAATTTATTTTTCCAGTGGTTCGGAACGAAGATAAACTTTGGTAAAAACTTTAGCTAAAACTCCGCGGTTTCTTATAGTCAACAACAACATCAATTTACAAACTACAGTATATTAAATTCATAATGTTTATCATAAATTTATTTATCGAGTGGTTTGGAACCAAGATAAACTTTGGTGAAAACTTTAGCCAAAACGCACCCGCGGTTTCTTAGAGTCAACAACAACATCAATTAACAATTTACAGTATATTAAATTTATAATGCTTATCATAACTTTATTTATCCAGTGGTTCGGAACCAAGATAAACTTTGGTAAAAACCTTAGCTAAAACGCCTCTGCGTTTTCTTAGAGTCAACACCAACATCAATCAACAATCTACAGTATATAAAATTTATAATGTTTATCATAAATTTCTTTTTCCATTATCTTTTACAAAGGGGCCACCGTCATTCTACAAATTCTGGTCCATTGCCAAAAAATCCGCGTCAGTTATTTAGGATGAGACATCTATACAAGAATGAATTGAAACAAAAATACATTCTGTTTGCTCTCAATGTAGTTTTAGTTGTAACACGATATCACTATCGAGGCGGAGGTGCTCGAGGTGCGGAGTCTCATGGGGGCACATTCGGGAAAAATGACCCCCCATTAGATAAAGGAATATAGGGAATTAGAAAAATTGTATTCATATTTTATTTGATTTTAGTTTCCATATAAACATAATAATTATAATACTATATTTTTGAAGTACTCTAGATTGATCGGGAAGTCCGGACGCTAGGCTATGTGTCTACAATATCAATACGAATCGAATGGCTTTGGAACCAACAAAATTGGTTAAGTCGTTCGTACGAAAATGTGCAACGTGGTAGATAATTTGTATAGCATTCAATCAGGAAGTCTGGACACTATCAATACGAAAGTAATGGCTTTTGAATCATTCAAATCGGTTCGCAGAAATTTCTTTTGAATTTAATTTTGTTTTGTTGCCATTCTATTGAATATTATAATAAATACAAACCCTAATTAAAGTAAAGAGTCCGCCATCTAACTTTTGCAGTCATTTTGAATCTTTAGCATCCATTTTGATTTTTTGGCATCCATTTTGATTTTTTGGCAACCATTTAAAAGTTAGGCTGCCATTTGCATTTTCCTTACAAACCAAAACTATTATTTCAAATTTAAAAAAATCAGTAGTTTTTTTTATAGAATCTTCAAAAAAAAAGTTATTTGGCGGACCCTATATATGACGTATTTTGCAGCCAGACCACCTGATCGTTAAGGAGCAAATTATAATTTTTTTCTGCTTTGTTAGGAAAACGACTGAATCGATTTTGATTATTCAAAATAAGTAGTTAGTATCCAGACCTTCTGATTCTTGGAGCACTTTAAAACAATCAATAATTGCATTTTGTAGAAATTTATGTCCATTTTATTTAATTTATTTTTGGTTGTATCACTATCAAGGAGAACGGCTGAGCTGATTTTGATGATTTGAAAGACGTACAATTTGAATTGAAAGACTTGTGTTAGCTTTAAAACAAGGCAGGTGCATTTGTTTTGGACTTTCTTCTGCAACCATTGATCAACTCACCAAATTATTAGTTATTTGATCAGATGATCATTATTGGTGTTTTTTTGACAATATTTCGGGATTGGTTGTATCACTATCGAGGAGAACGACTAAGCTGATTTTGATGATTTGGAAGACATTAAGATGTGTTAACTTTAAAACAAGGCAAGTGCATTCGTCTTGGACTATCTTTTGCAAACAGTGATCAGCATAAATGGCTTTTTGCTCACCAAGGTTTCAATTGTTTTATCCGATGACCATCTGATGACAATGTTTAGGGTTGTGTACCAACATGCAAATTACTTTGAAATTAAAATCGAAACTATATAAATAGTCTTTAGGGTGAGTCTGAAATGTTGCATCTTCTCCAAATAATACTAAGAAGCTGGTAATTGCTTAATGTAAGTTTGAAACTAATTTGGAATTTTCATGTCAAGAACAAATTTAAGCATCTTGCTAGAATGTATAAAGATTTTCAACAAAACAAATGCATTTGCCCACAATGCAAGAAATATCTTTTGTCCATACACCACTAGTTTTTTTTCCTCTTCACCATATATCTATTCCTCTTACCTCGTCAGCGAAATCTGGGTCAGTATCGAAAGAGACACTTAATGGTCTGCGGAGTCCTCTGGACACCAAACCGCCTTTGTAGTCGAAAGCCTTATCGACAGCTTCGTCGAAGGCTTCCCTGGCGGTGTTGCCAGATCGGCGGCTAGGGAAGTCCATGTCATCGAAAGCGGCCGCGCGACGTTTGAAAACGTCATCGGCAGCATTGGTGAGGGATGAGGCGCGCTCTTCAAAAGGCTACGGGGGAAATGACTGATTAGCCAATATTGCCAAACCATAAAGGTCACATCATACAATACTAATGATAGATGTTCTTATTGTTTAAATTGATTTCTTTCTGAAAATGTTATAAAAAGGAATATATTAAAATTTCCTCAATATCACGTCATATAAAAACAATACTAAGCTAATATCAGTTGTGTTATAAGCCTTTACATTAAACCCATATTACAAAATTCTGGTGATATCTGTTCTTTATGTTTATGACTTCTAAATTGATTTTTCAATAAGATTTTTGCTATTTTTTTAAATTATTTTATTATTACCTTGTCCAGTCTGCCGGATTTTTTGTCCAGCCTGTCGAGTGCTGGCCTGTAGTAACTTTCGCCTTTGTCGTAATTGCAGTCGTAAACGCGCGTGCGCCTTGGCAGACGACGAGACATCCTTTAAGAATAATTAATAATCCAAATTATAAAATAAGTTTATATAAATCATACATCATCATATTATTATTAAAACTTGTTAAGAAGTTTGAAATTTGAAAATATATTGATCTAATTGATGGAAATAATCGACAGCATAGATAAAAGAAGAGTATATCGAGAGTAATGTGCAATAAATTGTTTAACTAAAATTTCGAGGGATATTTGAGTGATAAAAACCGCACTAATAAAGCTGCAAAGAAAAATTATGAATTTAACTATTCGATATGTAAATTATAATAAAATTAATTTAACGGTCTAATAATTATAAATAATAAAAACAACTTCAAAGCGGTCGTCATCACTGAGGTTTATAACTTTGTTAAGACGACCGCAGCGCCACAGGCGGGTTAAAGCTGCATTTCAACGTTTTAAAATTTTCAAAATATTTATTCATTCAAAATATTATTCATTGATATTTGATAAATAAAATTTAGATTTCGTACAAGACACACCTTGCATTAAAACTTCATTTAGTCTTGGCAGAATTTTAGCTTACTAATTTATCTAAAACTAATTTATCAAATAACTAAATTATCTTTAACAAACAGTCATTCATTCTTTATCAATTTCCGTTAAATTCAAAATTACTGTCAATGGTCAGATGATTTTGTATCATTAAAGCCTTTATTTTTATTTCTAAAGTTGTATTTGTTATTCTTTTAGGATAGTTGTAAAACTTTCTACTAAATTTATATTATCTACTAAAAAATGCTGAAGTCTTACTATACACAATTATGGTTTCTGTCGCTTATAGTTTTTTAGTAACACATTTCACACAAAGTAAGTAGTAACATAACATTTTGATTTTTTTAAATTATTTTTTAAATGTAACATATATTGTTCATTTATAAGTTCCAAGAGTTTACAAAATATTTCATATAAAGATTTTTATGATAAAAAACAATACAGAACTTTCGATTGACGTACGGATTTATATTTTATTTTATTAAGTTAGACATTTCACCAGTTTTAAATAATACGTTTACTTTTTATGATCCCATATGTTATGTCTATAAAAATAGTCGATAAATAAATTCAATAGATTAAAAATAGGTCGAGGAGAAGAAATCGAATCTCTCAGAGTTGCATATAAATAACATAATGATGAAGATGATGGGATGATTATTTTTGTTAAAATTAGATTTCAATGTCAGATGTGCAATCGTAGACTTTGTTTATGAACAGATATATATATAACGAGGTCTGTTCAAAAAGTACCCGGAATTACTAATAATTAAATTTCGCGGGTCTGGAGTGTCTGATTGTCAAAATTTTTTTTTTATTGTGTTGGTATACATGCCCCTAAAGTATGATGAAATTTTCAGCTATATTCACTGTTTACTTTGTCTGTGGTAGTCGCTAAGGTTCGACGTGTTTTTTCTGAGCTCGGCGATTTTTACAATGGAAGAATTGAAAAGTCAAAGAATTTGTATTAAATTTTGCGTAAAAAATGAAATAAAGTGTTGCAAAGTGCAAAAATTCACCAGATATGGCTCCGTGTGACTTTTTCCTATTCCCAAAGTTGAAGAGACCCATGAAAGGACGGCGGTTTTCCTCGATTGAAGAAAATCGCTGAGAGTGCTCAAGGACATATCAAAAAGTGAATATCAAGGGTGCTTCGAAAATTGGAAAAAACGCTGGCATAAGTGTATTATATCTGGGGGGGACTACTTTGAAGGGGACCACATTAATGTAGACGAATAAATAAATATTTTTTTGAAAAAACGAAAATTCCGGGTACTTTTTGAACAGACCTCGTATATATATATATATATATATATATATATATATATAAATTTTCACCTGTTAACTGTTAATTTAACGGACGCCATTTTAATTTAATTGTCATTTTCTTTTACGTTAACTTTTGAATGTATAAAATATTGAAACTCTAGATTTTGTTATTTTATATTTAAATTACAATGTTTTTGTCGTTTCAATAAGGTATGTAGTTTTTTAATTAAAATTAATTTTACCTGCCATATAATATAAATAAAATAAAAGAAAACATTATTTATGTGCAAAACTACATGTCGCATTTATTGACGTCATTTACGTTTAATTTAAAATTTATATTTATATTTTTATTAACAATTTATATACAATAGTTTATAAATATAATTACTTGTATATTCATAATTAAATAAATAATATTAGTTCTATCGTCTTCCGATAATTCACGTGACGCCATTTTAATTCAGCTGTCATTTTATTTTCCGTTAATATTTGAATATAAATTATTCAAACTATAAGTTTGTTGTTTGATATTATAAATAATTTAATATAATGAGATTTTTGCTACATTTATTTACAAATATATTTATAAATAAAAAAATAATATTAGTTTTAACGTCTTAATTAACGTCTGTTAATTCACGGGACGCCATTTTAATTCAGTTGTCATTTTATTTTCTGTTAATCTTTGAATGGAAATTATTCAAACCTTAAATTTATTGTTTGATATTTTAAATAATTCAATATAATAAGCTTTTATTACATGCATTTATAAATATATTCACATATATTTATCAATAAATAAATAATATTAGTTCAAACGTCTTCCGTTAATTCACAGGACGCAATTCTGCTGTCATTTTATTTTCCGTTGATTTTTTAATGTAAATTATTCAAACTTTAAACTTATTGTTTGCTATTTTAAATAATTCAATACAATAAGATATTATTACTTGTATTTATAGATATAATCATATCATAAATAAATAAATAATAGTTGAAACGTCTTCCGTTAATTCACAGGATTTTAATTTAACTGACATTTAATTTTCCCTTAATTTTTGAATGTAAATTATTCAAACTTTAAACTTATTGTTCGATATTCTAAATAATTCACTATAATAAGAGTTTATAACATTTATTTATAAATATAATCACTTATATTTATTGATAAATAAATCAATTCGGTTAATTCACAGGACGCCATTTTAATTTAACTGACATTTAATTTTCTGTTAATGTTTTAATGTGAATTATTCAAACTTTAAATTTATTGTTCTATATTTTAAATAATTCAATATAATAAGATATTATTACATTCATTTATAAATATAATTTTATGTATTTATGAATTAATAAATAATATTAGTTCTAACGTCTTCCGTTAACACACGGGACGCCATTTTAATTCAACGGTCTTTTTGTTTTCCGTTATTTTAAATAATTCAATATATTTATTTTTTATTATTATTTTATGACATTTCACATCATAAATATAATCACAAATATTTTTAAATAAATAAATAATATAAGTTCAAACGTTTTATGTCAATTAACAGGACGCGATTTTAATTTAACTGCCATTTTATTTTCGTTAATTTTTGAATGTGAATTATCAAAACTTAAATTTTATTATGTGATATTTAAAATAATTCAATATAAATAGATGTTGTTATTAATCTTGGCAGTTTTATAAATATTTCAAGACACATAAGTCTATTATTATTATTTATATCTATTATTTTCTGACCAAATAAGTAGAGTAATAAAAACAATACGTAATCATTTCCTTCATCCTGTTCGAAATGTTAAAAGAAAACAATTCTCGTCATTACGGATGTTTTACTATAAAATTTGTGTTTTTGGCACGTACACCGATAATACTATTATTAGAACTTCATTTATTTTATTATAGAGTCTTAAAACATTATTGAATTTTCACAAAATCAGAAATTGAAGTATTTTGTTATGGAAATCTATTCTAAGTAACAAATTTACAGAAAATTTCGTAAATGATTAATTTTTATATAATTTGTAATTTTCTAAGAAACTAAAAGGTAGGCTTAGATAATTTGTCATAAGTATTTTTATATTTTTGCACAGAAGAAGAATTATTTATTCATTTAAATCGATGTTGTATTATGTAAAAATGTAATACTTTATTTTATTTAATTATTTTTTTTTTAAAAAAAGCAGTAATCATTTTTTTTTAAATTACAATATTTGTTACAACTGCTAAATATTTTAACATCTAGTAACAATAATAAACAATAACATAAATTTATATAAAAAAAATGACAAAATAAAGGATAGTATTTGCATTGCAAATAATAATAATAATAAAATTAATAAATAGCATACATAAAATTTTTGAATAATAAAAATAATACTAAAAAAACAATAAAGTGGAGTAATCAATATAATAAACATTATTTCAGGCAGTTGTAACTGACCTATCCAACCATTTACCTTACGATTTCTGTGTACTTGTGTACATGTCTACCTGTCTACATGTCCATATGTCTGTTTTCCTATTTGTCTTCAAAGTCAGGTTTGCTTATTCAACTCTCTACCTGTCCACTTGTCCACCTTATTGCCTGTCTACCTTTGTAACTAACCTGTCCGACTGTTTACCTGAGTAATTGTCTTCATTTCTACTTGTGTACATGTCTACCTGTCTACTTCTCTATATGTCTATCTTCATATTTCTTTACTAATTGTCTACCTGTCAACACTCTACCTTTCCGCTTTTCTTACCTATAAACCTGTCTAACTGTTATCTATGTATCAAATCTTCAAATCTATACTACGAAATGTTAATTTTTTATTTTTATCCAGCAACTCCGAAACCGCTGGACCATCAAATCTTCATTTCACGAATACAAGTGTAATGTTGTTTGAATCATTCAAATCGGTAGCTTTGTTCTCACATAACTGCAATTTTTTGCACTATTTGCTTTGTAACTCCGAACCGGCTGGATCTGCTTTGGCAAATGTTATCCAGCACGTCTGGTCGCCTATACGATACGAATGTATTTTGAAGCAATCTAACCTTTGCTCCGTTCTCACGAAAACTGAATTTCCATTTTTTGTACTTTTTGCCGCCTACAAAGCATCTGGACCTGCCTTGACTAAAACTAATCAGCACGTCTCCTCATATATAGGAATCGATGTTCTATAATCTTTCAAATCGGTTGATTATTGCTCTTGAAATCGTGGATGAAAAATTGTATCCGTGCAAAACACATACTACATACACACATACATACAGACATTTTGTTAGGGATGCAAAAATGTTCAGTAAGTTTGAAATTTTTTTACAATTACTATAACTTACCCTAAAGAAAGTGAAAAAAAGGGTCTATGGTTTTATAGTAAGATACGAAAGAAGCCAATTAAGGTGTTGAGGTTATGTTGTCTTCTCGATTTACTTCATAAGATTTTTTGCACTTGCCACATAAGTAGCTTATCTTATTTTAAGAGAGAAATAAGATAAAAAGGCAAGTTCATATAAAAGTAGACTCATTAATTTTGCACTTGTTGAGAGTATTATGTAAAAATGCTATATGGGTTAATGGCAAATAATAGATATATATATATATATATATATATATATATATATTATATAAATTTTCTCTACTCACTTGTCCTTTTTATTATTTAATTACAAATTTCTAATGATATTTTTCTCCGTCTCCAGTCGCCCGTTACCGTCGCACAACACTACAGGTCCACTACTGGTCGTGTGTCGGCCAGACACCTAGCACCGTTTAAAAATAGCCTAAGGATTAGCTATTTTTACGAGCGCGGTCAAAAGTCTCTGGTGAACAAGGTGAGGCCCTTAGGACCAGAAAAGCAAGTTCTACTGGACACCTGTTATTTTTAATGATTTGATTTTTTTAACTAAAAGTTCTTTTTGCATAACAATTTTTTTTTAATGTTTTCATGACTTCAGGAATTATTGATAAAAAATAAAAACGAATACTCTTTAAATTTACTCTTACATTCATACCTTAATTTATTTAATATAAAATTGATAGCATTTATTTTAATATTTGAAACTAAAAAACTTTCTAAATAAATGCAAATATCTATAACACACAATATGTATTTTTTGGAAGATATATAAATTAATTTTACAAAATCTTGAAAAATATCACAAAATATGTTATGGTTTGGATCTGAACTAAAAAAGGTTTTGATACATAATTTATAAATGTAGCATTATAATTTTATTCTGTTTATTAATTTAACATTTTATTCCAAATCATGGGTGCTAAACACAGAATAAATGTGCTACACCCTCATTTAGTGTTTTGCGCACTCAATAGAGGGACCTCTGCGCCTAAATTTGTTTAATGAACTGTTCATCTTATTATACTACACGTACTTTAAACGTTCAATATTTTGTATTATATATTTTTTTGAGAACATATTTATGATTTAATCGAAAATCTATTTTATACACTTATATTTTGTTCTCATTCCATTTATTCAAATTATTCAGACTTATATTTTCTATGAAAGGAATGTAACTTTAATTTTATTTATTTTCGCTATTCATAGAGGCGCGACGAATTTGCACGTAAATTTACCCATAGGTTTAATTCTAGATAAGATTTATTTAACTATATAATTCATAATATTTTAATTATTCATATTTCATGTTTATTATGATTAAATTGAAAAATATTAACAGTTAAATTAATAAACAAAATAAAATTATCATGCTTCATTTTTATATTATGTGTCAAAACCTTTTTTAGCTCAGACCCAAACCATATTAACACTCCTTGAGTTATTTTAAAAAGTTTATTGAGATTTTGTAAAATAAATATTGATCATAGCCAAAAGAACATATTATGTGTTTTTAATAAATAATGATCGATGTGATCATATATTAATTTAAGAAATTATATTAGCAATACTCAATGTCACAATATGTTGTGTTTTTCATTATATCTTAAACTAGTAATTATATTTACTTTATTTATTAACAAGGATTAAAAAAAAAACAATTGTTATTGATTACTATTTATTTAAAAATATTTATAAATGTATTATTATTATAATATTAATATATTTTTACAAGTATTTTAAATTAGAGGGCCTTAAATTTTTACACTCATTCATAAAATAAATTTTAATCAATTTACTTTTTGTGTTTTATTCATTTATTTATTCTATATATTATTTATTTATTTTTTTATTATTAATAATATTGCAAATTTATAGGATGAATATTTTTTATAAAATAGACAAAGATATTTTGAATTGAATGAAATAATACTATTTAATATAAGGCTAGTTTATACTTGTTTTATTTAAGGGCTAGTTTATTTTTAATTCTTACAATATTTTATTCATAAATTATAATTAAATGAATATTTTTGATTTATAATTATATTATTATAACTTAAATTTGCATTTGCAATAATTATTGATATATAGTATTATAAATTAAATTGCCAAATATTAAATTAAATAAAAAACAAAATAAAATTAACATACTGTATTTTAAAATTATGTTAATTATGTTAATTATGTCAATTATGTTTATTATTATTATTAATTATGCCTATTTATCTTTGGTCAAAACCATACATAAGGATCAAAACCGTTTTTAGTTCAGATCCAAACCATATCAAAATTCTTCAAATTAAACATTTGCATATAAATCTATTTATTATTATTTATTAATATATAGAATATAAACAATTTGTATTGAAAATAATAATGAAGATATTATTATTAACTAATACATTTTTACAAGAATTTTAATTTGAAAAAAAAAGCTCTTATATTTATCTATAAAATAATATTTGAAGTTTTATTTATAAAAATATTTATTTGTATTTATTAATATTATTACAAATTTCTAAGATAATTTTCTTCACAAAACTTGACAATATAGTAAAAATAATAATAATAATTATTTTATTATTATAATTTGTGATGCAATGGAACAATATTATTTAAATAATATGACTTAATGATTAATAAAAGACTAATTCAATTTTGAAACTTATACAAATCATTTAGTATATAGTTTGTACTTATAATTATATATTTTTTTATTATTGCAAGTTTTAACAATCAGATTACAATATAATCTATAAGTTAAAAGTGATGGCATTGAAAATAAAAATCAAGAAAAAAAAGAAGAATAAAAAAAAATAGAATTAAATGAATGAACTTATATTTATTTATATATACACAAAATTCATTTATAAATAATATAATTTAAACAATCTACAATCCGTTAAACGATAAAAATTTAAATTCAAATACAGATTTGTCTAAAAAATAACAAATAAAACCGAAACCTAATATTTATTTATATATGTAAAATATATATATGTAGATATATAAATTTCATTATTAATTTTTGTGTAAAATCGAATTTATTAACAAAATATTAAATTAATGAATAAAAAAAAGTTATATTTTGACATACAAGAGGGCGCCACAGTCGCCATGTTTTGACATGTCAAATGTCACATAACCTGCAAATTAAATTGTGCAGAAATAAACAAAATATTATGCAAAAACATTAAAAAATCTATAATTTTACGAATAATATAAATTTGAATGGTTTTTAATATAAATAATAATTTCAAGATGTAACAAATGATATATATGTTGTGTAATTAATTTATTATTGTGTAAAGTATATGGATGATGACAGAGTATACAATATTAAATATTATATTAAATTACTTACTACTTAAATAATCAAATTATTTAGTTAAAGTATAAAACATTGTTATATAATATATGTATAATAATATATAATTAAAGGGTTTTTAAATTATTTACTAACAATCACCATTTTAGTACAATAGAAAAAAACTTAACATCTTGTGTAAGATTTTATAATTTTATTATTTAAATAGAGAATGATTTCGTTTTCAATCTAAGTTTCTTAAAAGCTGTACCATTTTATATATTGGTTGTTTTGTTATTTTGATAATTGTGAATTGTATATCTAATACATCTTAGCCCTTCGAGTTTCTTCGCAAACCTAAAACTTCAGTTTGTGAAACAATAGGAGCTTCAAACGATAAGCTGAATTTATAAAGATATTTCCAAGATGCTAAAAGGCTCAGAACAAATATAAATTGTTTTTCCAACAAATATATGCAACAAATATATGTTTTCTCAGTTAATATTATCTCGTGATTATCCATTACCCCACAACAATGATTACGAACTTCTAACCCTGTACAATTTACCAAAATGCCTTTACAAAGTCTTTTATTAAAACGATGTAGTGCTCGTTTGAATTTGGTGCATTGTAGAAATTTTGCAAACGGTCAATTAAATACTGAAGAAAATGGGCTGCCACCAAAGAAATCCAGAGTTGTCATATGTGGAGGAGGCGTTATGGGGGCTTCTGTCGCTTATCATTTAGCACAAATGGGATGGGGCCCTCATACTGTTCTACTAGAACAAGGAAGGTAGTAATTGATACATTGGTACTTGAATAATTAGAGTATTATGTATTAATACTTCTTTTTTCTGTGTTTTATTATTTATTTTCTTTTAGGTTTGGTGGCGGTTCTACCTGGCACACGTCTGGTTTAGTAGGAGAATTTAAACCAACTTTGTCTCAAGTTAAATTGGCACAAAGTTCTTTGGGTTTGTTGAAGGATTTGGATAACAAAGGTCTAGCGACTGGTTGGAAGAAATGTGGTTCCTTGAATTTGGCTCGGAGCAGGGATAGGATGACTTTGTTTCGACATATGAAGGCCCAGAGTATGTAAGTGGAAATTAAATATATGTATATATATATATATATATATATATATATATATATATACTAGATGACCCGACAGGCGTTATCCTGTACCCACGCCTACAATTTTTTAATATTCTTAATAATCTAATATTTCTAGGCTCATAAGTAATTGAATTTTTTGGCAGATGACAGTTTTCATTTGTTTTCAATGCCAAACAATGTCTCAAATATTTTCAATGTTATACGATGGTATGTCGTTTTTAGCATTTTTTCCATTTATTTCTGCAATATTACTATATTTTTATAATCACATACATTCTAAAAAATTCTTTTAACAAATTCAGAAGATTTATCAAAATCCGAAAAATCGTTAGGCTGAGTATATTTTTCATGCATCATTACAGAAGAATTATATATATAGAACATCTTATATATAGAATTCTTCTAATTTTTTTTCTAATTTTTTGATTAAATTTTTTATTTTTATTTTTTTATAATATGGCACTAAGAAATACATACAACACCTAAATTTTTACTTCATTATTACCAACCTCTATTTTTTTAATAGCCATTTTAGCATTCAACCATTTTTATCCGAAGTTCAGTCATTGAATATTTTTTAAATAATTTTAGTTTAGTTTTTGAGCTTGAAGAAAAAACATAATTTACTTTGAAATATAATTTATTATTATTAAAGTATGTCCAACTCTTTTTCATTTGGAGGTAAACTTTTTTTATTTTATTTTTTTTAATGTGGAATTGACAAAATATATACAATTCTTTTACTTCAGAATATTATTTATTTTATCAAGGGTTTTGTCTACCCTTAACATTTTTTTTAATTTTGAGACCAATTTTCTATAATTTAAATTGAAAAATAAACTATTTTTACTTCAATCAGCTATATATTTTCATCAAGGGTTGTCCATCCCTATTTTTTAAATTTTGGAATCAATTTTTTTTTAGTTTTATTTTTTTTATGCTGAATTTAAAAA